CATGCTTAAACCCACCTGCAGGTTGACCATGAAGGGCTTCGAGAGTAGCGCCCTGAGCATCTGGGACTTCTTGAAGATCTGCACCTGCTCCCCCTGCTGATTGAGCGTCTCTGTTGACGTGAGAGGCTCATGCTCGGCGACTTCAACACTTGTAGAGTTATCTGTTCTCTGACAACGACAAGAACCATATCATGATGCCAACAAGGAACTGAGCCCAAAACTGTATCTGGTACTGTTGACTGAGGAACCCTTTTCATTCTGATGATCCTTTCACAAACTCATAAAAAGCTTATAAGGTTGTGGGAAATGCAAATATATATATATAAACACATATTTGTAATTTTGTAATTATAAGTTTTAAAATTGTATAATTTTATTATTTATTCCCTTGAAGTCCCTTGATATAAATTTGAATATTAACAAACATAAGACTAAAATATGCAAGAGCACTATCAAGTTTTCAGGGACTAATTTAATCTGATTTTATTAAACCTTAATGAAATGGGTTTTTTTTTGTTTTGGACATGCAGTAGCTGCCGTCCCCTCGTCATGATTATACGGCTGAAAGTAAGCCTTAAGGACAAAAACACCACATTTTGGGAAGGTCACTCATTTTAATCTTCACTGGTTTTACGTAAAAATTGACGCGACAAATCTGTAAAAATCAGGCGTCCGTCCCAGGTGTGTATGTCAGTCTGGGCTTAACGTTAATGTCCTTCAGTGAAATACTTTTTGTTTTTCTGCAAAGATTTCTCCAAGAACTTCGCCTGGGTGCCGCCAGGAGTTATAAATATTCTGACATGGTTTAGTGAGTCAGTGGAAATCTCATAAAGGCTGAGGGCAAAAGCCAATGCTGAAGAGGTGCCATGCAAATGGCACATTTACAAAAAGAAAATAAAAATGCAAGCGTACGATCAAGTTTTACAAAGAAATGTAAAATGATTTGTCCCCAGCCTTATTCAATTATCTGTTTTATATTCTATATACAGATCACATATTCCATGGGCATAAGGATTTTTCTAGGGATGTTCAATATTAACTTTTTATAGTTCGTTTTATCGATATCCAATATTCTGATACACTTCATTTCTGATTTTGATATTAACTGATATTAATATAGCCTGGCCTGGTGGTTAAGGACATTAAGTGCCACTCACCAAGGCGGTGTTTTAAAGCAGTGTTTGGAAATTATTTTCTGCCTTGCCCCCTTAATGGGACAGAAGTTTATTCACCCTCATCACCCAGTAATATTTATGTATTTTTTTGTATTTTTGTATCTGTGCCGCAATGCTGCCATTGAGTCACTTTTATATACAGCCGTTTTCCCCCCAAACTATTTTTAGGGCCCACATCATTTGGCGAATTGTGCTAATATCAGTTCGATAATATTGGTTGCCTGATATTATCGGACATCCCTAGAATTTTCCTTTTTTGTCAATATAGTTTAAAAAATGCCCCTCCCTGAACCGCAACCTTAACGTGGTGGAGGGGTTTGAGTATCGAATGAACCTAGGAGCTATGTTGTCGGGGGCTTAATGCCCCTGGTAGGGTCTCCAAAGGCAAACAGGTCCTAGGCGACGGAACAGACAAATAGCGGTTCAAACCCCCCCTTGATGAAGAAAATAATTAAATCAAAGAGGTTCACGTCGCCCGGATTGACGTCACCGGGGCCTCACCCTGGGGCTCGCAGGCTCAGCCCGAACAAGCGACGTGAGCCTGCTTTCCAGTGGGCCCACCACCTCCAGGAAGGCCCACAAGTGGCCGGTGCCTTGTGATTTGGGTGGCGGTTGTGGGCAGAGACCCCGACGGCCCAATCCCTGGACAACCAGTCTGGCTATGGGGACATGGAATGTCACCTCGCTGGGGGGAAAAGAGCCTGAGCT